CGATATAACATAATCGGCATTCAACAAGGAACTCTATATATATGTGAAATACTAATAAAAGTATATAATTTACTAATTGGCATTAATTTAACAAGCAATGAGATTTTCGCGGTATAATAATTAATGAAAGATCAAGAAGAAAATATATAAAATATATAGAAACGCGCCGGTTGGGTATTAAATAAGCCGATCTAAAAAAAATACAAAAGCATCGCGGCTCGATTTATCGCACTCAATTATCCATCGTTTCTAATGGTAATTAAGCGCGCTCATTAAGAGATAACGTACTTTATTGGAGTATCTTTATTAGCGGCGATACTCATCGCGAGTTATATCGCGGAGAATGCGAGAAAAACGCGCGAACGAGCATCCGCGAAGGGCCATACTGTTCGTACAGTGTATGGGCGCGTATAGGCGCGCTCATTATCGTGATACACGACATTAAGAATACGGAATTTATGTATGATTCTTATTGTAAAATCAAGATATTGCGACAGTGTGTGTATTTATATAGCGCTTTATGATTCACTGCGGCTTGCAGTTTATTTCAAACCAACCGCATTATCGGAGTGACCCTCCATGCCCTCCGATACACAGCAGCCATTCGTTTTATCCTCTGCACCTGCTTTCTGGATGGCTGCTTCTTGTAGTTGTTATCTTATTGTTGTTGCTGCTAATAGGGTCAAGTGAGATAATTGAGACCCCAGGGTTAATGGAATAATAAGATTATTTCTTGACGATAAGATCAATAGCTTTCAGTTTTCCTACTCTCGATTATAACATTATTATTGTTATTTTCTCAATTCAGTTTTCTCCTTGAAGAAAGTGAAGTGTATGACTGCACGATTATTTCTTGAAAAAAGACGTTTTGATCTTTTTTCTTTTTTTTTTATTTAAAATCGGCAAATTCTTCTCACGGGGAGTATCGACTGACGCTCTTGCGACATTCTTTATATCTTATTCCGTGCCCCTCGTATTCCACGGCGGCTTGGCCCTTATTTATCGAAAGACACGTCGCCGACAGCCGAAAGTCCCCGATCGACAATCCGACAGAAAGAGAAAGAGGGAAGGATGGAGGGAGGGAAAGAGAGAAAGAAGGAAAGAGAGAAAGAAGGAGAAAGAGAGAGAGAAGGAGAGAGAGAGAGAGAGAGAGAGAGAGAGAGAGAGGGAGAAAGAGAAAGAGCAACGATCCTGCTGTTCCTGTTTCTGCGGTTCGCGCACCCGGGACTGGGTGTGTGCGCTCGGAATGCGTTGAAACATTGCGGCCACGAGAGCGGCAGGATTAAATCTTGATGCATTGCCGTTATCCACGCGTGAATTTTTGCGCTCGTGCATTAAAGCCACGGCGAAAAAGTTATCAATTTATTGCGCGCGCCGCGTCGATACGCGATAGCGCTCGTGCGCGCGCTCAACCCTCCCGGCGAATTATTAATTGCCGACCCGATCGCAATTGTTGTTTCAAACGAGTTCCCGCGTCCTCGGAGTTGTTCGCGTTGTATAACCACACTTATCGTGATCAGGACCGCTGATGTAGTGTCGTTAGGCGCATTTTAAAAGCGCTGTTCCCGGACGCTCGCAACGGACACAATAACGCGGCGAATAAAACTCGCCTTTTGTACGCCGCAGCGCGTTCAATTCGTCTGATCGTTCGATTCTATGAAGGGACGCGGACGGAATCGCGGACTCGAAGATGTGCAAGTGAATCCGAGCATTTGATAAGGAGCCAAAGAACTTTGTCGAGAGTATAGCTCTAAATGTGCAAGAGAGGCGACGTGGACTCTCTCAGTAAAAATTCCCGAATTAAAATTCCTCTCGCGTGTTGCACAATTTTTGGCCGGCCGAAATACTTGGAAAAACACTCGTGAATCTCAATGGCAGTTCGGTAGCCATCGGCATTTGCATTCCTCGCAGTGTTTCGACATCCCCGGCCGGGATTTTATCCGGTTTTTGTCCGGACTAGTTCGCCGCGCGGGATCGGCGCGCGTGTTTATCGGACCGAGCCGCCAGCAGGCAGCAACTAATATATCCTCCATTGTGCTTGCCTTGCGAGATTATGCGTGATGTCACCATGCGTTATTTAAAACTTGTCCATTCATGCTCGGCATGTGTCCAGCTTGATGAAAGAGCGCGGATGAGAGACGAGCGACGCGGAGGTTACGTGCGCGTTTCCCCGGAGTCGACGAAAGTGCCGCCCGACTGTTGAACGGGTAATACTGCGTAACTGGCGCGGCACATGACATCTGTAATGGAATCCTTCGGACGGGGAAGGATGAGAGCTTAATGAGCGGAACTGATGTTTCCGCGCCGAGAGCGCGGCGTCGCGCGATACGCCGCAGCGCGACTCTAATTTTGCGCGAGCGCGCATAATGCGCATTACCGCGCCGAATTATTTATTCGCCATTGAGCGAGTGTTTATCGCGCGTGATATGGATACTGCAGGAAGTTCCAGCGCGCATTCATACGCGCGCGTTTTACCAACTGGACACGTCACGCGATACAGCGAGCTCTCTCTACGTGTCGCGCGCGTTTCGATCGTGCGACGAGCTATTGTTGCTTTTCGCGTTAGCTTATTGATATCGGCACGAGTATCGGACTCACGCTTTGTTTAAGAGCCCATCCCTCTCGATTTAAATCTACCACACAAATCGCGTCTTCTAATTCGACGCTGGAATCAGCGAGTGCTTGTCTTTTGGTCGTGGATCGAATTGACGATGGCAATTCAGAGGCGAAGCGCGCCGCGAGAATAAATTCTTCGCACGGTAATCCTACGGTAACGATACGTCGCGCCGGTCGTACGATGTACGTTACGGCCGTACCAACAGCCTGCTACATCCGCCCGTACACATGATCTCAATGCACGAATCGAAAAATCCCGCCGCCACGGAAACGCTCTCCCAGACATCGCATTACAGTCGTACAATTTTCCCCCGGACGAACGAGCGCCGTTTGAGAGCAACAACGAGCGCTATTAAATTATACGCGCTTAATGTCATACGTCGCGTACCGCCACAGGATGCGGCCTCCCTCGTGCAAAGCCTTGCCCAACGGCGACCACGATTCTCCCTGTCCACCATCGTATACCTGTCATCGCACACGTAGACAAAGCGTCCGCCACTAATCGAGGACCGCTAAGCCTTCCTTCGGCCTGGCCGCAGTTCGGCTTGGCCGCGAACGAAAGACTAACGACTGACGCGAGATCCTCTTCCTCGAATAACGTCGGAGCATTTAGGACTCGTGTCCTTGCCCAACGCCTACGTGCGAACCTTTGTCTCGCAATGGGCTCTGGACCGTGTGTCGTTCCAAATACCAGTTGACGTCACTTTTGGTACATTATTAATGCGAGATTTGCATTAATATTGTCTCTCGATTTCGAAGACCGAATGCAGCGAATTTAAATTTTGGTTAAAAGAAGAAATCATCAGAGAACAACTTTTCTTTTAATTTATGCAACAGTGATGATGCACATTTAGCCTTTTGTAGAAAGAAGAACATCTCAGCGCGAATCTCACATTAGTAATATACCGAAACTGAAGATATGTAACGATTAAATAATTCTTATGAAAGCAATTCTTTTCTAATTTATGAGTCACTGATGTAATTTTTCTCTCTCTTTCTCTCTTTCTATTTCCTATTTCCCCATAGATAGATTTTAAATTGCATTCAAAAAAAGAAAATTAATGTCTTCTTTGAATATTTTCGTCCTGTCGATTTTTCCGACAAATTTTTTTCCATTTCGTCGGTTTGATGTATCTATAGAGCAAATTTTCACTTTAAAATTCTCGACTTCCAGTATCAAACAGCCATCAGTGTCGATGCATGTTTTTCCGCTCTGATATTTTCCATTTTCTGATATTAATCGACAATTAAATGGACACTCGATAATTCTGCGATACACGCAACGTGTAATCGACAGCACATATCGCTTGAACCGCAAAAGTAAAAATAAATCCCGATGGTACCGATGCAACGCGCGTTCATTGCATTATCGACTGGCAATCGTACCTACATCCACTGAGCGATGTGTATCAATTTGAGATTAATATCGGGACCGTGTCATGGGTACGCGTCGCATCGCGCGTTCCTGACAGCACAAACGCGCGTTATCCGCGTTACGGAGCGGTACCGGCCGCATGAAATTGAAAGTTAGCGTGGGCCGATAGCTACCGCCCAGACCGGTCCAAGTTTACTCGTACATTAAGTCGGTGATCCGGCTCGAGGAAATATCATTGGCCTGCGTCCGTCGAGTACTCCTTAGCGGAATACAGACGGGGGTGGAGATCGCTCCGAGTCGTGCGGACCGATATCACGCGAAATAGCGTATACGCCGCTGGCGTTACAAAGAATGCAGACACTCGGCTCGTTTCGTCGCGCGCTAAGCGAGGCGGACTCGCGTATTTGCGCGATTTCCGCAAAAAACGGGAGAGCTCGCGTAGTTTAAGGGGGTCGAATGTCTTGTTGCGTTGTGGAATTTCCACGACGGCAAAAATCACGCAGGCAAATACCGCGACGGGTTTCAGCTCCGTAACTGGAAGCGTGCAGCGGCCGGCACCGAGGTTCGTCGGTGTGCAATAAATTTTTACGCGCGGCTTGACACATTAAGATCCTAAGACCTGAGAGGGAGAGAGAAGGAGAAAACCAAAGAGAAAGAGAGGAAGATACACACCGTCTTTCCCAATCGGCATTATAGTTACGACCACGATCCGGAATGGGACAGGCAATCGCCGGCCGGAGTTAGTTAACCGGCGCTGTTGGCGCAACACTGACCCTGATTTAAATATTTACGGAGGCGGTAGGCATACGGTCGTCTTCTCGGACGACGACACCGGTCACGAATCGTCAACGCGAATGCCCGAATGCAAAATGCAGTATTGTGTCGAGGAAATTCCATTCGGTCGTGTCGAAGAGCGCGCACTCGCTCTAGAATGCGATAATTGGTCGCGTCGTTCGCGGCCCCGTGCACCTGGGCCTGATGACAGCCGATCTCCGTTTTCCGATTGCAGGTCGCCGGGCAATTATTGGACACGGAGTTCCAGCCGACGGTGACGGCGACGTGCAAAGGCGGCCACATGACGATCCGCGTCAACCTCAATCAGAGTTTCGTGGGCGCGGTCCACGCCCGAGACCATCGGACCCCGCAGTGCATGGTCTCAGGCAATGGCTCCACGCACGCCACCTTGGGCATCAACCTGTTCGCGCCTAACGACAGTCCCGAGTACTGCGGAGTCCTCGTGAACAACGTGAGTCTTTCGCGATTATGGAAATCAGCGCGACGCGCCAAGGGCGAACGGAATCGCGAGAAGCAGGGATGCTGAGGGGACTTTGGAAGATTGCGCCGGTCGCGAAAGCACTCTTCGCGAACTTTACAGATGCGTTTGTTGCGGGGAAACGGATAGCTTTGATTGTTGAGGGAATCGAGATAAATTGGGGGTTTGTGGGACGAATTGTATCCTCGTGCACAATAATTGCAATGAAAAGTCGCGGGGCAGGATTTTGCAATTATCCAGCTGCGCCTTGAGGCGCATTAGTGCTTCGTATGCTTCGACGGAGACGTATCTCGGGGAATTAATATTCGCGTCTGTTTACGTGAGAAGCTTCAGACAATTAATTGTTTTGAAATTGTTGAGTATGCTAATTCACTACGTAGTCGGCAACAGCAGACGTCTCTCGCGAGAATAACATGAGAATCCATCATACACGCGGAAATTACGATTTGCATTTGAATACTTCTCTTTCCGCGGAGATATTTGTTCTGCGAGTGCGTTCCACGGAAGCTCTCCCGGTAAAATCTCTATTCAACTCGGATTTGCGAAAAATTCTTGCAAACTTCACCGGCACTCCACTCCTTTCATACGTTTGCGCGAGACGAGATTGATTTCAGACGGAAACAAACGAAATTACTCAAACGCAATAAGCGCCTCGGCGAATATATCTGCGTGACGTTTTATCGTTCTGCGTGTGTAAGTGTGGTGACTTTGCAGCACACGGAAGAACGCTCCATTCCCATCGCTGTTAGAATACACAAGACCCTGGAATTGGCGGACGACAAATTTTATGTCATCACGTGCGGAAAGGCGGGCTTCAAGAATGCCAAGTAAGTTACACGAGCAGACTAATTAGGAAATAATTAATAATAATAAATAATATATAATTTTGTAATATTAGTATTGAAGAATTTCTAGTAAGTTACACTGGCAGACTAATTGAGAAATTAGTAATAATGAATGATCCGTAATTTTGCCGAAAAACTTCAAGTAAATTGGTCGTGGGAAATGATTAGAAAATAATTAGTGGTAATAAATGATCCATAATTTTGTAGTACTCTGTCCAAGTATTCGCAGCTATGAAAATTCGCGATTTCTGAAAAATCTATTTTCTGACATTCCCCCGCACTTATTCACCGATTCATTGTCAAATACCAGGACAGGTGAGATTTTCATCAACACGAAGCGGTTGTCGAAAAGCGTAACAAACTGCGCGCGGCGATACCGTATTCAGCTTCACCTTATTTATGGACTTTCCACGGTGGTATCGTGAATGATCGCAACGCGGTAGATTCTGCCAAACGTGCGAGAGATAGAAGCAGCTCGCGGCAGCGGCTTGACACGCGCGAACAGCGCTATCTAACCGGGAAATACCGCTCGCGAGGCTTTTAATCGGTCATTAGCGGCCGCGCGTTTTCTAATCGGTCATTGATATATTTGCCATTTGACACCTCTCAGTCGTAGATTTTCTGCTCGCGCTGATTGTGCGCGGAGATATACACTTCGGCTTATTATTGAGCCGATATGTATCCGTAGGATACCGAATACAACGTGGATCGAGATACAATTAAGCAGTTTCGCGAGAGGCACCGATATTACGCGGTGTCTCAATACCGCCATTGATAAATGGGGGATACTTCAACGAGGTACGATATTTAAGCGCGCTATCGTCAAGCTGACGCCGCGAGACACAAGTTCTCTCAACTCGAAGTACCAGATGCGACCGACAGCTCGTTGATTGTCAACCGTGGTTCAGAGTACGGTTAAAATCGTGGGTGGCTTTAGACGTGTGAAAATGTATGCCCCCTCACGTGTTCGCACGTGGCTAAATACCTCTCAGCAGACGTACGATTGCCCCGATGATGAAATTCAATTAGCCGTCCGGGAATTAGATAAATAGAGCGGCAAATTAATATGCCCGTGATGCCGCGGCTTACCGCAAGCAATTTTCTTATTCCGCAGCGCAAAACGCGGCCAGCTATTAGTATGCGACTGTCGTCGGGCGAGATACCCGGCAAATAATAATTACCTTCTGGGTCGGTACCTTTTGAATACGTCTTGCCTCGTTTTTTGATGCCCGCGGAGGCACCTTGAAAGTCAGGACGTGACTCTGCGCGTAATTTTCTCGTCACACGCGCGACATCATACGTATCGACACGTTGACATTTTTTCTCCCTACTGTGCACTTAATCATTCGCTCGCACGGATCGCAACTGCTCCGATCGATCGATCGAGCCGGCAAGCGAGCTTGCGTCATGGCCGGTAATAACAAAATGTACTATGGGACGAGCGAAGAAGTGCATGCTCACGAGACAACGCTTTTTGCATAGAAATGAAACTTCCTTGGTTTCCCTGCGCCTCCTGGACGGAGGCGTCAGAGTGCAAGAAGCTGTGTACGGTCACAACTACACGATGCGTGCCGAGATTTCACGCCCAGACGGTTCGTATTTTACGTCCCATTCCATCGTGCGCGTTTACGTTCAGTCGATACGGATCAGTCCGTTAGCCGTTTCTCCGTGAGAAAAACTGATATCCGTTGAATATTTAATTTGCAGGAATGTACGGGATCCGAGTCAAAAACTGCGTGGCGTTCAACAAGCTCAACTCCAGCGTACCGCTCATAGACGATAAAGGGTAAGCTGAGCCATAATTTGTATGTGCAAATTACTTAGTAATGTTGTGCTTAAGCAATATTGATTTCTTATAAGCTATACACAAGAACGATAAACGCATTTATTTAGCATTTATATAGTCTGGAACAACATCTGATAATCTGTTCTGTCTGTTATTGTCTTAGTAGTTTCAATTTTTGCGAGTAGATGACAAAAATCATTGAAAATGTGTCTTTAAAATGATTTTTGGAAAACAATGAATTCAGCAGACATTAGTTCATTTAAACACTACAAAATCTTGTTCCTTCAACATTTTTGGGTCTGTCAAATAAAGGAATAAGTATTTACATACAGATTAAACTGTTTTCACCTAATTTAACACATTTGTCGATTCTACAAGTGTATTTCAATCAAAAGTTAATACCTTACTGTTTAAATGCACGAAAATAGATTTGTGTAATTGCTCAAATATAAATATGCGTTCGCAGGTATAATTATGCGATTTAATATCCTATAAACTCTACGATATAAGCCAGTGATGTAATTGATAGTTATCGAAATGAGCAATCTTTTTTTTTATAACAACAAGACGGGTTGGATTCTTGAAAGTCCGGTCGAGCACACAGAAAGAGCGAATGGTATTTTCATTAAAACTTCAGTTATATTGCCAAGTTCTTTATTGCACAAAACGAGAACTCAAGTTCTCTCTCTTCTTCGTTTACTCTTTATAAGTTTTCTCGCCTGTCAAAGCGACTTTAGAACTTGGCGGATAACACGTTCAGTCAAGAGAAGTTAAAATTAGTTTTAATTCTGTTTTCATTGCTAAGATCAATGAAAAAGAAAAAGAAACGCGCTGCTGACGCGGCGGTAACGTTATTAACGTTATTGCGGCGTCAAGAATAACTTGCTCTAATTGCAACTTGTTTTCATCGTCAAGCTGCCCCGTGAAGGCTCGAGTGATGACGAAATTCATATACGATCGGAGCACCGGTATGGCGGATGCCACATTGTTCTCGATGTTCCGGTTTTCCGACAGTTCCGAGGTGCATTTCCAATGTGACATCGCCGTGTGCAGAGGTAAACTGATCCGGTGAATGATTTCCTATTAGCATCCCGTTACGAATGTAGGTTATAAAATGCCGTTCAACTTTTGCCGTACGTCGTTACGCGTCGCCACCGCGGCACGCAGTTGTCCTCGTTCGTTTTCACAGCGACAGCTTTTCAAATGAAATAGAGGAGGAAAGCGATTCCAGGATAGAAGTATTATTCGTTCTAGCGTGTTAATAAAAAGAAATTACCTACAGTTCGTTAGGACAATTTGAACAGACACCACCCCTTTCTTCTGTTTCAACTTCTATTCCATTTTTTGCGAATTGTACATTAGCAATTTCCTCGCGAAGACGACGACGCGAGAATCGCCGCGGTGCAAAAACTCGATTGCAACTTTTCTCGTCCGCGATGCATAACAAAAGCAAATTTTTATGCTCAGGAAGCTGTGGCACCCCCATTTGCGAAGGAGACAAAGAGGAGCTCATAAAGGGTGGCTCCTCCACTAACGGACAGAGTGTTAGTGGCGAAGAGGGAGTGCTGCTCGCCGGGACGAGTGTTTTTGTCCTCAAGCCGGGCGAACAACGAGGTACGTATGCGTTGTGCTATCGACGTGATTAATTGTTATCGTTACACACACGTTATCGTCGTTACCGACACGACACTGTTAACTCTGACCGAGTCCCGAGTGGTCAAATAAGAAGCGTCGGACTTTCTCTCCTACTCGAGAGCTTGTTTAATTAACGTAAGCGACGATCACGACTCGATAAAGAGATCAATGAGAGCGATCGCATTTGACGTTACATCGGAGAAGCTCGTGGCGGTGTATACGCTGTAGTTTTGACATGCTGTCGTGACACGAAAAGTATAGAGCCACGACGAGAATGCGTGTGAGCTTCTTCCCCGTCTCTCTTGATCCCCTCATTGCTTCACCTCTCCCGCGTATCCTATTTACATCTTCTTCCCGTGCTCGTCGCAACATGGTTGCCTCGCCGCCCCACATCGTCATCCTGACCCGCATTTGGATGGCGCTTCGACACGCGAGCTATCCGCGCGGGACTGTCGTCAAATTATAACGTGTACTCAGACCGACGCACAAGCGATCTTATTCCGCTTATCGTGCTTCATGCTGCGGTTGTGACTTTTCTACTTGACTCGACTCGGTCGCACGCTATCATTTTCAATACGCCGATCTCCGGTGATGTCTTCGCGGACTCGCGCGCGGTTAAAATAATTCTATTAAATCACGAGCACGAAACGAAACACTTTCTCACGTCGTTGGGTCCCGTTAAAGTGTGTAAACGCCATTAAGTAAGACGACGCGGTGAGACCTCACAACGATAGAATTATGATTCCTCGCAAATTGTCCGACGATTGTCCTCGCGAGCATTATCGCGTCCGAGAGAGCATCGTTGCCGCGTTTCCCACTCACCCGAGGCTCTTCACTTGCGCAAAACGCGTGTTTTTCCTACGACGCACCGCGGAGAAATCGAAGCTTCGTTGCCGCGCAATCGAATATCGTAATTGACGGTATTTCCGTTTTCACGGAAGGCGCGTATGCAAATGCGCGAGTGTGCGAGCGCGCAATTACTATAAATGCAAGAGTTACACAGTAGTTTCTGCATTCGCAGTTGTACAAACACTGCACGATGACGGCAGCGTGCACCCGCTGTGGCTCCTGTGGCTCGCGGTGGCGCTCGGGATATTATTCCTCATCATGCTCATTATCAACATATTCCTGTGTTCGGCGATGACCTGCAGTTGCACCCGGACCGACATTATCGAGAAGGAGCCGTCGATCATTGAGGATTACGATCCGTACCGCAGCTGGCACGGTTCTCAATACGGGTCGAGGTTTGACTTAATTACCTCTCTAACAGCGAATCGCGTGACTCGCCGACAAAGTATCTCTATTAATTGCGTCAGCAATATATGGTTTTGCCTGTAACATAACCGTGCGCGGTATCCACGTAATTCAACGATCGATTTAACACTCGAACTCGTCCGAGTGCCGCGAATCGATTATTGATTGAAGACGCGCCGGATCGAACGCGATGGTTAAATGGCCTCACGCTTTTCGCGGGGCTTTTCCACGGGCTCGAGACCGTGTAATTGGGGAAAGAGGGAAAGAAATGATTCTCCGCGCTCTCCACAGTCTCCACGCTCGTATCTCGGACGATGCGCGTCGCGCATCTCGCGGCCGCCGATCGTGAACTTTCTAGAGTCCCTTGCTCAAACGCAACGCGGTCACAAAGACGGCAATTAGTGTACCCGGGATCGCCCGGTGCACATGCGATGGCGTGCTTGAACGGAACCTTCCTTCTGCTCAGGTATTCGTTAAACGGAAAGCAGGGATACGCCTCTGGGGGATCCACCATGAATTCCACGAGGTCGATATCGACCAACAGCGATCACTACGCGATAGTGCACTCTCGACCGGGCAGCAGATACTCCGGCCCCGGCCAGAAGCACCACCATCATCACAGAGGACCGCCGTCCAACATCGGCTCGCACTACTCCGGGAAGTGACGACCGTCTTAGCTTCGTTTATCGAAAGAATCTAGAACTCTCTCTTCATTAACGTTACTTTAATCAAACACGAATTCTTAAGCGCCACCGCGGCATTTATACGATCGCACGAATGACAGGTGTTCGGTTCGAGCGCGAAATTACCGATGCGACTGCGAGAAGACTCCGCAGAGACGACACGTTCAACGACGTATTGACGCTTTCTTGATCGTGTCGTTTGGCACATGGATTATGCGGCATTGGTATGGCACTTCTTCTGTAAACCAGAAACAGGTGCTTACCGCAACCTTGTATGTTTACATGAGCAATCAATCTCAATCTCGCTTCAATATTCGAGTATAATAAGTTAATGATAGATTGCACATAGCACGGTAATGGATTCATAATTGACGGCCTGGGAATGTCACACCAATGCGCAATAGCGTGTCTGCAATCAGTAATATGTATATTTTACGCGACATATGCCGCAGAAATACGTATAAACGATGAAGGAAACGTCAATATATGAAATTCGATACCTCGACAACGATCGTTGATTAATACCTCGCGAAGCTCACGCCTCGAAAGGATGTAATCACATCACGCTCCGATGTTTTTACCACGCATTTTACTCGATAATCTCGCATTTTGTTAACGATATCAACGACAATGAGTAATGTGATCAATTCGAGAAACGCGGACCAATAATAGATAAAAACTCTTTCTCTATATATATACGTAAGCACGGTTATTTTATAAAAACACTGCATGCATCTACACGTCGGGACTTTTATGCCTAGCCTTATCATTCGTGAGACGATTCTCGTGCTAGACTGCGTATGTATCATAATATAATAGTCATAACATAGGCACACTAGCATATACGAAACTGCGGAACATTATGATTTTAATTAAGATATAACTAGTTAAATGCTTTTTGTACATAAATCCATTAATCGAAAAACAAGACGTGTGCCTTTTATTCTGCGACCTGAATCGCATGATAAATATCGCGTCGTCGTCCTTCGAACGCTGCCCTCTCGCAACGAAAAGTAACGCGCCGCTCACGTTCTCATTGTATTCGTGTCGAAGACGCAGCGTTATGTTTCACAACTTTTTCTTTCTAGACTAGAACATCGATGCCACTTTCCACACTTGTTCGATAATAATAATCCAGTTGTAGATCTCTCGCGGCGTTTGCGCGCTCGCGTCTTTGTATCGCTGACTCGTATGCTGACTCTGATTTTATTTTACGAAATAGCTCGCGCTTCTTTCGTGGTCAGCCATGCGTAATCTCGAATTACGTGGTTAACTAACTGACTAATTGCTTGCTTATGTGATTATATATATATGTGTAGATGTGTATGTACGTATTTTCCTTTTTTAGAAGGTAGTGCACGACGAGACGGTAATGCACACCCTCGCGTAATGTCAGAATTTTTTGCGATGATACGACAAGAATAATATTGCTCCACCCGCATTTGCCGAGCAAGAGTACCGTTGTTCGACCATCATCAACGTTAATCACGATAATTTCTACTACGTACTGCATCTTGTTTTCGTTCTCATTTTTCCGGAGGCTTTTTCTCGTTACTTTCGTAACTAACTACCCTCCCGTGACCTTCCGACTTACCTTCTTATTCTGAGCGCGCGCGCAGACTACGGCATGTAAGAAGAATTATATCTTCTTTGTGAAGCATGCTTATTATAGCCGTTTTACGAAGTACAAAGTGGACGGCTTTTACTTTGAAGGAGCTCGGCGCGAGTTTACGTGAGAACTGCGACGAGTAGATTTCTCCAAAAGCTTTCTCTCCAGAAGGAGCAACGACGTGTCCGCGACATGGGAACGACGTGTCAGATGCGAGCGGGATTTGTATTTTTAAAAACGATTTATTATTAAAAATACATTTTTAGAATAAAATATACGATCGAGTGACTCGCGCTAGCAGGCTCACATGCGCGCGTACGCCTACACGAGTGTGTACAATTTTCGCTTAAATATTCTATATAAAACACGAAAACTCATTTGCGCCTACGAATGGTAACTGCCGATATGTATATATAGACGGATGTGTATACAGGTTTTGTCACGCGCAAAGTAATTATACAGGAAAGGAGAAGGAGAGGACTGATACTACTAGCTATAGGAATACTGGGGAATCTTCAGTATTACAATATTTACAACAACGATTGTTGGTAATACCTGCTGGAAAAGTCAATCGAAGTGGCGGTAGTTGCGACATTATGCTCATGCGACACCGCCGTGCTTTCGAATAGTACAATCGGTTGCTTCGTCGTGATTTCATCATACCTATTAAATAACATTGCCTTTCACGATTCTATAGCAATTGCATCGGGCCAACCATCGAAGACGTCGTATACTAATTAACCTGATTACCCTCGGTGCGCGCAGCAATATGCATATCGTGATTTATCGCCGAACTGAGGATGAATCAGCTCGGCTCAAGTATCCTCCACTGTTCCGCAGTGTCTGTTTGCGAATGTCTTGGAATCGTGATTGATCGTCGACGACGACATCATCGAATTTCGGATTCGCTCGCGAGAAAACGCAGAATCGACGCGCTCGCGCTGTGATTAATTAAGCGGCAGGTACGTCCTCCCCTAGCTGTCAAACTATATTTACTAAAAAGTTAGAGTGAAAGTATTAAAACAGCGTATAATTGCTATCCCACAAAGCCATTAACCGTATCTGTTCAAGTATCAGACCGACCTGCATTGTCGCAGTCTGCGAAGTCGACCGTCAACAATCGCTTCGATCGAGAAGATGAATTCTTGGCACGTTTCGCAAAATCCCGTTAGAATCGTCCCTAAATCTCGGTCCTAGAAACATTCTCCTCGTCGAAGCGCGAAAGCGAGCGGCCGACTCGAGAAAGCAACAATTAACAGCTGACGCTTCGCGTAACTCGGCGGATGAGCGCAAAAAAGGGTTGCAGCTAAAAAAGAACATTTCAACTAATATTTTCTAATAATCGCAAGTACTTGCAAGAAAAACGCGTTCCCCTGTGTAACTCATATATAACAAGAACATGTGTAACAACTTTTGAAATAATTATTTTATATCACGATTAATTATAGCAATGAAAATTTAACGATGGGATGCTATAAAATACTATCCTGTCTCATTGATGATACCAACTGAAAAACTTTATATTCCGAGCTTTATATCCTCTTTCGCACTGAGCCATCGAATCGCGTTCGTTAGCGAATTGGTTTGACGATTATATGCTACTGAGTGTTTCGTGTTTCGTGTTTCGCTGATCTCGAGCATATTTCGAGAAATGAATCAGGATTTTATCTACAATTATAAGGCACGACACACGCGCGTGTGCGATCATCTCGTGTATTTATGTATAATATATGAACTTGTGTATGCTAGAGAGAGTTGTGTGTATATGTGTGTATATGATCAAATGAATTAAGCGTTAATTGTGAGTTGCGTATAAACGTAGAGTATTTTCCATAGAAAATGGAGGCACCATGAATAAACGTACAGTTATTGTCGCGCCGTTAATGGCGCGTTGTATTAACGATAACGTGTCAGCCTGCTTACGATTGGGTCGTCACGTAACTTAATTTGGAGCGGGGGAAGCCAGATTTGAGAAACAATATGAATTAAAAATAACAAATAAATAGCGTGTTAATGTACGGGATCTATATGCCGGTGTCGAAATTGTCTCGATATCTTCTCAGATATCTTTGAATCGTCTCGTGGAACTCTGATAATCGAGAGGCAATTTTACCCTGATACTTCCATTTGTTTTAACGCGTAATATAAGGTTTGATGTGTGTTTAGGCTGACGAAACAAGAGCCAATGCGCGAAGCTCGAGCTGTTTCGCGGCATAAACGCGAATTTACGCCCTAACTAAATGTTGTTTCAGCAGCCTGGACCTGCCGAGAGAAATCCACTGCCACCTGCAATCATAGCTGACATATTCTAACGTTGCAAAAATATTATATAAGCATTATCTTTTCATTATTTATCTTTATTAATATAACAAGAAGTTATTGCATCTTCTCCGGCCACACAAAGACCAACGAACGAACGAACGAAAATGAAGCGTTTGATGAGGAAATGGCAAAGATGACTGAAACAATAGAAACGATAGATCAACGATAGACTGAAACGATAGAAACGACGACAGATCGAAGAAAGTAGAGTGAAAACACCCGTGATAAATGAAAAGCCAAGTGCTAATGATTTAAATAAATATTATTCCTTCGTACTTACGCGAAAGATCATTTTTGTCTTCGTAATTGGTATGTCTCGTATCGCCTGATGTAATCAGAGAATCCTCGAATAATTTCGAAAGTCACGGATTCCACGATCGCGCAGATCCAGCCTCCTCGAAAAGAACGTTATTCTAATGATAATTCATCGTTCGGATCGCCGTCACAATGAAAAGTTCTTTGACGGTCATGGATCTTTTCCTCTCTTATGCTACCTATCTACCTACCTACTTATCTATCTATCTATCTACCTACCTACCTACCTACCTACCTACCTACCTACCTATCCCATTACTCCCACATTAAGGGGGGAAATCCAATTAGAACTTTCAAAAAATCGAATTTTTTTTTTTTGCATAAAATGTTTATTTAACATTGTAAGAATATGTTCCCAACGTTTTAAATCGAAATTCGCAGCCGTTCGGAAGTTATGGCCTCCGAGCGCAACAAATCTCTTGAGCAGCGTCGAGGCTCTAATAGCACGCAGCAGGTATACTCACCCGGAGCGGGGATTTTACCTTTCAGGGCTGCGATCCAAAACGTATAGAGATGTAATTATAGTTTTACTGTAGGTTTTGGAACGCACCCCTGGTAGATGGCTTTTATTTCTATTGTTACGTTTAGTCGAAACCGTTGGGTCCGTTGGCGCTGGCATCGAGCAGAACCGGTTTTCAGTTTAGCTCCGAAGTTCGGCCTGTACAAAACGACAGTGCAAATTCGAAATGT